AATGAATAATTTTTTTTTTTTTTGGTACGCAGGCCTGTCACTGTTGTGGCCTCTCCCATTGCGGGGCACAGGCTCCGGACACGCAGGCTCAGCGGCCATGGCTCACAGGCCCAGCCGCTCCGCGGCATGTGGGATCCTCCCGGACCGGGGCACGAACCCGTGTCCCCTGCATCGGCAGGCGGACTCTCAACCACTGCACCACCAGGGAAGCCCTAAATGAAAAATTTTTGAAGCTGGTGATGGGTACCATTACTGTACTATGCTGTCTACCTTTTTTAATATTTAAAGTTTTCTATTTAAAAAAAGTGAAAAAAAAAAAAGGGAACCCTCATGCACAATGGGTGAGAATGTAAACTGGTACAACCACTATGGAAAATAGTATGGAGAGTCCTCAAAAAATTAAAAATAGAAAAATAAAAAAATAAAACTACCATATGATCCAGCAATCCCGCTTTTTGGTATTTATCCAAAGAAAACAAAAACACTACTTAGAAAAGATATATGGGGCTTCCCTGGTGGCACAGTGTGCTCTGCAACGGCAGAGGCCACAGCAGTGAGAGGACCACATACCGCAAAAAAAAAAAAAAAAAAAAAAGATATATGCACCCCTATGTTCACTGCAGCATTATTCACAACAGCAAAGCTATGGTAGCAAACTAGGTGCCCACCAACAGATGAATGGATAAAGATGTGAGATATATATATATGATATATATATATATATCATATATATATTTTATATACATATATAATGCAATATTACTCATTGATAAAAAGAATGAAATCTTGATATTTGCAACAACATGGATGGACCTAGAGGGTATTAACCTAAGTGAAATAAGTCAGACAGAGAAAGACAAATACTATATGATTTCACTTACATGTGGAATCTAAAAATGCAAAACAAATGAACAAACATGACAAAACAAAAACAGTTACAGCTACAGAGAACAGGCGATTGTCAGAGGGTAGGGCATGGGAGGGGAAGAAAGATACAGGTGAAGGCGATTAAGAGGTACAAACTCTCAGCTGCAAAATAAATGAGTCACAGGTATGAAATGTATAGGGTAGGGAATATAGCCAGTAACTAGGTAATATTTTTTGTGTGTTGACAAATCATAACCAGACTTACGGTGATCATTTTGAAATGTATAGAAATATCAAATCACTATGTTGTGTAATAGGAAGTCACATAGTGTTGTAGGTCAATTATACTTCAAAAACAATCAACCTCATAGAAAAAGAGATCAGATTTATGGTTACCAGAGGCAGAGGGGTGAGGGGAGGGGTAACTGGATGAAGGCAGTGAAAGGTACAAACTTCCAGTTATAAGATAAATAAGTACTACGGATGTAATGTGTAACATGTTATACATAATTAATACTGCTGTATGTTATATATGAAAGTTGCTAAGAGTTATTCCTAAGAGTTCTCATCATAAGAAAAAACTGTTTTTTTCTGTTTCTTTAATTTTTTATCTATATGAGATGATAGATGTTCACCAAACTTATTTTCATAATCACTGCATGATGTATGTAAATCAATAATTATGCTCTATACCTTAAGCTTATACAGCGCTGTATGTCGATTATATCTCACTAACTGGAAGAAAAAAAGTCTTAAAAAAAAAAGAGGGCTTCCCTGGTGGCGCAGTGGTTGAGAGTCCGCCTGCCGATGCAGGGGACACGGGTTCGTGCCCCACTCTGGGAAGATCCCACATGCTGCAGAGCGGCTAGGCCCGTGAGCCATGGCTGCTGAGCCTGCGCGTCCAGAGCCTGTGCTCCGCAACGGGAGAGGCCACAACAGTGAGAGGCCCGCGTACCGCAGGAAAAAAAAAAAAAAATAGAGAAACAGGAAAACTTTCAGAGAGGAAGAGTGAGAAAAGGGTCACCACAAGGGAACACAAACAAGAATAACATCAGGCCTCTCAACAGTGACAGAAGAGACTGGGAACGAGGGAGGCAAGGCCTTTAAATTCTGAAAGAAAGAATTCCATCCTAAAATTCTATATTCAGCCAAATTCTATATACTTTAATACTTTATTGATTAAAAAAATCATGTTCAGATATGCAAGATCAAATAAAACTTAGCTCCCATACACCCTTTCTTTAGAAGCTACTAGTCTATGTACTCCAACGAAGTGAAGAAGGCAAGAGACCTAAGAAACTGAAGATCCAACACAGGATAATGAAAAAGTCCCCAGGTGACAGCTTTGCCATATGCCTAGAAAGCAATGAGGAGATGGAACAGGAGAGAGACCCAGAAGAACATGGTAATTTTCTGAGAACAGACCCTATAAAGCAGCCAAACAGAATTCCTTCAAGGTTTTAAAAATTTACACACCCACCATCATGGTACAAGAATTTTTAACACCACCCTCACCAGTGCTGGGTACTATCATTTTCTTTAATCTTATTTTGAGTGTTACTGTCTTTCTTACATTATGGTGAGGTGGAGCATTTTTCCTATGTTTGTTATCCATCTGAAATTATTCTTTCATATCTTCTTTGATTTACTTGGTAGATTTTTTCATAAAGTCCTTTCTCTTATCAAATAGTAGGGGATTTAGAGAGACAGAAATATATTTACCCTTTGCTGTAAATATTTTTCTCATTTGGTTGTCTTTTTATTCAAAGTGGGGATTTTACTTACATATGACTTTAATCTCTCCTAGTCAAAGCTATAAATCCATTCCTAAATATTTTGTTCCTTGGTTTTTATAATTAGTAGTAAGTCATAATGACTCAGAGAGCAGAAAAAATTAAACTACATTTTCTTCTTATTTTATCATTGTTTTTAATATTTCACTCTTTTTAATCCAACTGGAATTTATTTTAGAATATAATGTAAGATAGGAATCTAATTTTATTTTGTCCCAAATAGTTAACCAATCATTTCAACACAATTCACTGAATAATTTTTCCTATCCTTACTGATTTAAAATGATATACTCTACAAGTCTACTACTGACCTTTCAATTCTGACATTGAAAGTCTGGTCTTAGAGGTATTGTACTTTTTGGCCACTCAACAATCTTTCCCCTTCTTTTTTTACCAGCACCCTAATTTCTATATAAGAATTTATTTGGGGGGCTTTAATTTTAGCATAATTAGAGGAATTTACTTGGGGCAAATTACCTCTTTCAATCAAATGTTCTCTTCCAGATTAGAATCCTGACCAAAGTTACAAAAAGAATAAAAACTACTGGTACCAATTCACCTCAGCTTCATCTATCATTTCTGCTACCAAGAACTCTGGAGATGCTCTGGGACTCATATGATTTCTAAGCTGATTCCCCAACATTCCTTATGATTCTGTGGATATGATTCCCATATTCTTCCACTGAATTCCCTATTTATGTTAACCAAAGTCGGTTTCTGTTGCATACAACCAAAAAAACACGATTGATATATTACTGAAGTTTTATAATCTGTACTAACTTCTGGTATAGTAAGTGCCCACTCATTACTCTTACCAAAATGTTTTATAGATCCTCATGTGGATGAACTTTAGAATCTGTCTTCCCAAGGTAATTCCACTCAATCTTTGATTGGAACTGCTTTAACCCATAATATAATCTAGGGAGGATTCATAACTTTACACTGTTAAGGGTTCCCAAAATGTCTCATCATTTTCTTTTAAGACTCTCAGTTAAATTTCATAATTTTTAACGTATTTGTTGTTAACTGTATTCCTGTTTTTGTCACTATGGTGACAAAAACTTTTTTAGTATCTTATTCTCTGATTATTACTAGCATATTAGAGTGTAACATAATTGCTATATATTATTTTCTTCTTGACCTCCTTATTGAATGTTCTTACTAGTGTCAATAATTTCAAAGATGAGTTTCTTGACCATTTAGGGTTATTAGCATACCATCTGAAAATAATCAGAATCATACCCCCCTTCTTTCCAAAAATTATAATTTTTTATCACTGTTCTTGCTTTTACATATTTCTTTGGCTAAAATTCTCAGCACAGTGTTAACTGACAGAAGTGAGTTTAATGAGAGTACCTCCAGCATTTTATCATTAAATACTCTTTATAAATGTTTATTTACTTTATAAGAATTATAAATTATGTTTAAGACAAACTTCTTTACCTATTGAAATACTTAATTTCCCACAAAGCAAAAGAAAATTTTTTTTAAAAATTAAAAAATAAATTAGCTATCTCTCAAGATTAAAGTGGTTATCAGTATCATTTACTCACAAAAATCATATTTTTTCATTTGTAAACTAATGCTCCTTTCCCATCTAAAGTCTAACCTGGGGACTTCCCTCATGGCACAGTGGTTAAGAATCTTCCTGCCAATGCAGGGGACACAGGTTCAAGCCCTGGTCCAGGAAGATCCCACTTGCTGCAGAGCAACTAAGCCCATGCACAACAACTACCGAGCCTGCACTCTAGAGCTCGCAAGCCACAACTACTGAGGCCGCATGTCACAACTACTGAAGCTCATGTGCCCAGAGCCTGTACTCCACAACAAGAGAAGCCACCACAATGAGAAGCCCATGCAACGCAACGAAGAGTAGCCCCCACTCGCCACAACTAGAGAAAGCCCGCATGCAGCAATGAAGACCCAACATAGCCAAAAATAAGTAATATAAATAAAAATAAATTTATAAAAAAATAAAAAATAAAAATAAATAAAGTCTAACCTGAAAAGCACTCCACAAAACTATGTAGCTAGTACACAGCATTCAAACTACAAAATTAGAATTTAATATCTTTTCTTGTGTTGCTTCCTCAAACTTGTAATATAAACAATTACCTTCAAACTTTTCAAATATTCCAGGACAATTAATTATTAAAAATGAATAGTTTTTTTTTTAATTTGGAGCAAGATATAATTTACTCAAATACAAAAGTTTTCAAGGAAGCCAATGTTCAATATATATAAATGTCAAAAAATTATATTTTATTACAGAGTAAAACTTTGTCCTTAAATAACTAACTAGCCATCATATATGTGCTATAAAAGAATGAGAAAATATACCTCAAACTCTTTTCTAAGACGTTCCTCTCGTTGAGTGCTAAATTCGAATTCACTTGTCTGTCGACGTAAAAGGTCAGAGCACTCCATGTGTTCGGCTTCTAATTTTTCTACTTTCTCATGCATATTTTGTAAAGCATTATCTTGCTCCTAGAAAATAGTTCATTTTTGCATCAATAAAGTTTATAAGCCAACAATGACTAAAATTTATTCTATAAAATACAGTAAGCAACTAAACCTGTACTTCAACCATAATAATAGGTTAATTTATATAAGCAAGAGAGGCCAAGATATTCTCTAGCGATGTTTCAGAATATACATGTGTTTAAAAAGTGCTACTGGAGTTTTACAACTTAAAAAATCTAAATAAGGGAAGGACCTTCAAGATGGCGGAGGAGTAAGACATGAAGACCACCTTCCTCCCCACAAATACATCATAAATACATCTAGGGCTTCCCTGATGGTGCAGTGGTTGGGAATCCACCTGCCAATGCAGGGGACATGGGTTCGAGCCTGGGTCCAGGAAGATCCCACATGCCGCGAAGCAACTATGCGCGTGCGCCACAACTACTGAGCCTGTGCTCTAGAGCTCACGTGCCACTACTAGTTAGCCTGCATGCCACAACTACTGAAACCCGTGCACCTAGAGACCGTGCTCTGCAACAAGAGAAGCCACCACAATAAGAAGCCCGCACAAAGCAACGAGGAGTGGCCCCCGCTCACCGCAACTAGAGAAAGCCCATGCGTACAATGAAGATCCAGTGCAGCCAAAAATAAATAAATAAAATAAATTAATAAAAAGGAAAAAAAACATCTACATATGGAACAGCTCCTACAGAACACCTACTGAATGCTGGCAGAAGACCTCAGACCTCCCAAAAGGCAAGAAACTCCCCATGTACCTGGGTAGGGCAAAAGAAAAAAAGAAAAAGCAGAGACAGAAGAATAGGGACAGGACCTGCACCTCTGGGAGGGAGCTGAGAAGGAGGAAAAGTTTCCACACACTAGGAAGCCCCTTCACTGGCGAAGACGGCGAGGTGTGGGGGGAACTTCGGAGCCACGGAGGAAAGCACAGCAACAGGGGTGCAGAGGGCAAAGCAGAGAGATTCCCTGACAGAGGATCAGGGCCAACCAGCACTCACCAGCCTGAGAGGCTTATTGGCTCACCCGTCGGGCGGGTGGGGGCTGGGAGCTGAGGCTTGGGCTTCGGAGGTCAGATCCCAGGGAGAGGACTGGGGTTGGCTGCATGAAGACAGCCTGAGGGTGCTAGTGCACCACAGCTAGCCGGGAGGGAGTCTGGGAAGAAGTCTGGACCTGCCGAAGAGGCAAGAGACCCTTGTTTCGGGGTGCGCAAGGAGACGGGATTCATCCCCATTTGCCCACAGGAGGCAGAGCACCGCCTAAACAAGCTCCAGAGACAGGCGTGAGCCATGGCTATCAGCTCAGACCCCAGAGACGGGCACGAAACGCTAACGCAGCCATGAAGAATGCTGTATGCAAGCACAGGTCACTATCCACACACACACAACCCACCCATGGAGGCTATGCAGACCGCCACTGCCAGGGTCCCGTGATCCAGAGACAACTTCCCCAGGAAAACACACAGCACACCTCAGCCTGTTGCAATGTCACGCTGGCTTCTGCCACCACAGGCTCGCCCCACATTCCAATTCTGACTACTGTCCCCTCCCTCCCCATGGCTTGAGTGAGCCAGAGCCCCCTAATCAGCTGCTGCTTAAACCCCCTCCTGTCTGGGTGGGGAAAAGATGACTGACAGAGACCTACACGCAGAGGTGGGGCCAAAGCAGAACCCCAGGAGCTGTGTGGACAAAGAAGAGAAAGGGAAGTTTCTCCATGCAGCCTCAGGAGCAGCGGATTAAGTCTCCACAATCAACATGATGTACCCTGAATCTGTGGAACACCTAAATAGACGAATCGTCTCAAAATTGAGGCAGCAGATTTTGAGAGCAACTGTAGACTTGGCGTTTGCTGTCTGCGACTGATTTGTTACTGATTTTCATGTTTACCTTAGTTTAGTTTTTAGCACTTGTTATCGTTGGTGGATTTGTTTATTGGTTTGGTTGCTATCTTCTTTTTTTACTATTTTTCTTTTTATGTTAATATTTTTTTTACTTTCTTTTTCTCTCCCTTTTCTTCTGAGCCGTGTGGCTGACAGAGTCATGGTGCTCCAGCCCGGTGTCAGGCCTGAGCCTCCAAGGTGGGAGAGCTGAGTTCAGGACACTGGACCACCACAGACCTCCCAGCCCCACTTAATATAAATTGATTACAGCTCTCCCAGTGATCTCAGTCTCAACACTAAGTCACAGCTCCACTGAACAGCAAGCAAGCTCCAGTGCTGGACACCCCATGCCAAACAACTAGCAAGACAGGAACACAACTGCACCCATTAGCAGAGAGGCTGCCTAAAATCATAATAAGGTCACAGACACCCCAAAACACACCACCAGATGCGGTCCTGCCCACCAGAAAGACAACATCCAGCCCCAACCACCAGAACACAGGCACCAGTCCCCTCCACCAGGAAGCCTACACAAGCAACTCAACTAACCTCATCCACTAGGGACAGACACCAAAAACAAGGGAACTACGAGCCAGCAGCCTGTGAAAAGGAGACCCCAAACACAGCAAGTAAACAAAATGAGAAAACAGAGAAATATGCAGCAGATGAAGGAGCAAGGTAAAAACCCACCAGACCAAACAAATGAAGAGGAAATAGGCAGTCTACCTGAAATAGAATTCAGAGTAATGATAGTAAAGATGATACAAAATCATGGAAATAGATGGGAGAAAACAGAAGAAACATTTAACAAGGACCTAGAAGAACTAAAGAGCAAACAAACAAAGATAAATAACACAATAAATTAAAAATTCTCTAGAAGGAAGCAGTAGCAGAATAACTGAGGCAGAAGAATGGATAAGTGACCTGGAAGATAAAATGATGGAAATAACCACCACAGAGCAGAATAAAGGAAAAAAATGAAAAGAATTGAGGACAGTCTCAGAGAGCTCTGAGACAACATTAAACTTACCAACATTCGAATTATAGGGATCCCAGAGGAAGAAGAGAAAAAGAAAGGGACTGAGAAAATATTTGAAGAGATTATACTTGAAAACTTCCCTTACATGGGAAAGGAAACAGTCAATCAGGTCCAGGAAGCGCAGAGACTCCCATACAACATAAATCCAAGGAGAAACACGCCAAGACACATATTAATCAAACTATCAAAAATTAAATACATAGACAAAATATTAAAAGCAGCAAAGGAAAAGTAACATACAACGGTATCCCCAAAAGGTTAACAGCTGATCTTTCAGCAGAAACTCTGCAAGTCAGAAGGGAGTGGCAGGACATATTTAAAGTGATGAAAGGGAAAAACCTACAACCAAGATTACTCTACCCAGCAAGGATCTCATTCAGATTTGATGGAGAAATTAAAACCTTTACTGACAGGTAAAAGTTAAGAGAATTCAGCACCACCAAACCAGCTTCAAAACAAATGCAAAAGCAACTTCTCTAGGCAGGAAACACAAGAGAAGGAAAAGACCTACAAAAAGAAACCCAAAACAATTAAGAAAATGGTAATAGGAACATATATATCAATAATTACCTTAAATGTAAATGGATTAACTGCTCCAACCAAAAGACACAGACTGGCTGAATGGATACAAAAACAAGACCCGTATATATGCTGTCTACCAGAGACCCACTTCAGACCTAGGGACACATACAGACTGAAAGTGAGGGGATGGAAAAAGATATTCCACGAAAATGGAAATCAAAAGAAAGCTGGAGGGGCTTCCCTGGTGGCTCAGTGGTTGGGAATCTGCCTGCCAATGCAGGGGACTTGGGTTCGAGCCCCGGTGTGGGAAGATCCCACATGCCGCAGAGCAACTAGGCCTGTGAGACACAACTACTGAGCCTGCGCGTCTGGAGCCTGTGCTCCGCAACGTGAGAGGCTGCGACAGTGAGAGGCCCACGCACTGCGATGAAGAGTGGCCCCCACTCGCCTCAACTGGAGAAAGCCCTCGCACAGAAACAAAGACCCAACACAGCCAAAAATAAATAAATAAATACATACATTTAAAAAAAAAAAAGTTGGAGTAGCAGTTCTCTTATCAGACAAAATAGATTTTAAAATAAAGACTATTACAAGAGACAAAGAAGGACACTACATAATTATCAAGGAATCAATCCGAGAAAAAGATATAACAATTGTAAACATTTATGCCCCCAACATAGGAGCACCTCAATACATAAGGAAAATGCTAACAGCCATAAAAGGGGAAATAAAAAAAAAAAAAAAAAAAAAAAAAAAGGGGAAATAGACAGTAACACAAGAATAGTAGGGGACTTTAACACCCCACTTTCACCAATGGACAGATCAGCCGAAATGAAAATAAATAAGGAAACACAAGCTTTAAATGACACATTACACAAGATGGACTTAACTGATATTTATAGAACATTCCATCCAAAACAACAGAATACACTTTCTTCTCAAGTGCTCATGGAACATTCTCCACGACAGACCATAACCTGGGTGACAGATCAAGCCTTGGTAAATTTGAGAAAACTGAAATCATATCAAGTATCTTTTCTGACCACAAAGCTATGAGACTAAATATCAATTACGGGGAAAAAAAACCTAAAAAATACGAACACATGGAGGATTAAAAACTATGCTCCTAAGAAACCAAGAGACTACTGAAGAAATCAAAGAGGAAATCAAAAAATACCTAGACACAAATGAAATGAAAACATGACGACCAAAAGCCTATGGGATGCAGCAAAAGCAGTTTTAAGAGGGAAGTGTATAGCAATACAATCCTACCCCAAGCAACAAGAAAAACCTCAAATAAACAACCTAACCTTACACCTAAAGATATTAGAGAAAGAAGAACAAAAAAACCCAAAGTTAGCAGAAGGAAAGAAATCATAAAGATCAGAAATAAATGAAAAAGAAATGAAGAAAATAATAGCAAAGATCAATAAAACTAAAAGCTGGTTCGTTGAGAAGATAAACAAAACTGATAAACCATTAGCCAGGCTCATCAAGAAAAAAAGGGAGAACAATCAAATGAACAGGATTAGAAATGAAGAAGGAGAAGTAACAACTGACACTGCAGAA